TCTTTCTTTCTCTCTTTTTCCATCATTCTCTCTTTTTCTTTCTCTCTCTTTCTTCTTTCTTTCCATTTCTCTCTCTTTTACTTCTCTCTCTTTCATTCTCTCTCTTTAACTTTTTCTTTCTTTCTTTCTTTCTCTCTCATTTTCTCTCTCTTTCTTCTTTCTTTCCATCATTCTCTCTCTTTTTTTCTCTCTTGATTTCTTTCTTTCCATCATTCTCCCTCTTTTACTTTACTCTCTCTTTCTTCTTTTCTTTCCATCATTCTCGCTCTTTAAATCTACTCTCTTTCTTTCTTTTCCATCTTTCTCTCTTTTTGCATCATTCTCTCTTTCTTTATTCTCTCTCTTCTCTTCTTTCCATCATTCTCTTTTCTCTCTCTTCTTCTTTTCTTTCCATCATTCTCTCTTTTTACTTTTACTCTTCTTTCTTTCTTTCTTTCTCCCTCTTTTACTTTCTCTTCTTTCTTTTGCTCTCTCTTTTCTTTCACTCTCTCCTTTCTTTATTCTCTCTCTTTACTTCTCTCTCTTTCTTCTTTCTTTCCATCATTCTTTCCATCTTTTATTCTCTCTCTTCTTCTTTCTCTCTTTTACTTTCTCTCTCTTTCTTTCTTTCCATTCATCATTCTCTCTTTTACTTTACTTTTCTTTCTTTTCTTTCCATCATTCTCCTCTTTTAATTTACTCTTTCTTTCTTTCATTCTCTCTCTTTTAAATTTACTCTCTCTTTTTTTTTTTCTTTACTCTCTCTTTCTTCTTTCTTTCATTCTCTCTAAACTCTCTTTTTTTTCTTTCCATCATTCTCTCTTTAATCTTACTCTCTCTCTTCTCTTTCCATCATTCTCTCTCTCTTCCTCTTCTTTCTTCCTCTTTCTCTCTCTTTCTTCTTTTTTCCATCATTCTCTCTCTTTACTCTCTCTTTCTTCTTTCTTTCATCATTCTCTCTCTTTTACTCTCTCTTTCTTTTCTTTCCATCATTCTCTATTCTTTTAATTTTTTCTCTTTTTCTTCTTTCTTTCCATCATTCTCTCTTTGCTTTAACTTTCTTTCTTTCTTTCTTTTACATCATTCTCCCCTCTTTTACTTCTTTCTTTCTTTTCTTCTTTCTCTCTTCTCTATTTAACTTTACTCTCTCTTTGATTCTCTCTTTTACATCCATTCTCTCTTTACTCATTCTCTCTCTCTTTCTTCTTTCTTTCCATCATTCTCTCTCTTTTACTTTTCTTCTCTTTCTTTCCCATCTTTCTTTTTTACCATCATTCTCTCTTTCCATCTTTCTCTCTCTTTCTTTCCTCTCTCTTTCTTTCCATCATTCTCCCTCTTTTCTCTTTTTCTTCTTTCTTTCCTCTTTCTCTCTTTTAACTTCTCTTTCCATTTCCGTCATTCTCTCTCTTTGCTTTTTTCTTTATCTCTCTTTCTTTCTTTCTTTCCATCATTCTCTCTCTTTACTTTTCTTCTTTTCTTTCCATCATTCTCTCTTTTACTTTACTCTCTCTTTCTTCTTTCTTTCCATCATTCTCTCTCTCTTCCATCTATCTCTTTCTTCTTTCTTTCATTCTCTTCTCTCTCTTTTCAATTCTTCTTTTTTTTCTTTCATCATTCTCTCTCTTTTACTTTTACTCTTCTTTCTTTTCTTTCTTTTCATCATTCTCCCTCTTTTAATTTACTTTTTCTTCTTTCTTTCCATCTTCTCTCTTTTACTCATTCTCTTTTTTCTTTATTTCATCATTCTCTCTCTTTCTTCTTCTTTCTTTCCATCTTTCTCTCTCTTTTCATTCATTACTCTCTTTTCATTCTTTCTTTCTTCATTTTCTTTCTCATTCTCGCTCTTAAATTTCTCTCTTTCTTCTTTCTTCCATCATTTCGCTCTTTAACTTTACTCTCTTTCTTCTTCTTTCCATCATTCTCCCTCTTTTTTCTTTTTCTTCTTTCTTCATCATTCTCCTCTTCTTTTTCTCTCTCTTTCTTCTTTCTTTCCATCATTCTCGCTCTTTAAATTTACTCTCTCTTTCTTCTTTCTTTCCATCATTCTCTCTCTTTAACTTTACTCTCTCTTTCCATCATTCTCTAATCTCTATTTCTTCTTTCTTCCCATCATTCTCTCTTTTTTCTTTCTATCATTCTTCTCTTTAATTTTTCTCTCTTTCTCCTCTCTTTCTTCTTTCTTTCCATCATTCTCCCATTCTTTTCTTTACTCTCTTTCTTCTTTCTTTCCATCATTCTCTCTCTTTAACTTTACTCTCTTTCTTCTTTCTGTCATTTCTCTTTCTTTACTTTACTTTCTCTTTCTTCTTTCTTTCCATCATTCTCTCTTTTTTATTTTTACTCTCTTTCTCTCTCTTTCTTCTTTCTTTCCATTCTTTCCATTTTCTCTCTCTTTTTGCTTCTCTCTCTTTCTTCTTTCTTTCCATCATTCTCCCTCTTTTTACTTTACTTTCTCTTCTTCTTTCTTTCATCATTTCGCTCTTTACTTTACTCTCTCTTTCTTCTTTCTTTCCATCATTCTCTCCTTTAACTTTCCGTCTTCTCTCTTAACTCTAATCTCTCTTTTTCTTCTTTCTTTCTTTCCATCATTCTCTCTCTTAACTTTTTTACTCTCTCTTTCTTCTTTCTTTCCATCATTCTCCTCTTTTTTACTCTCTCTCCTTTCTTTCTCTTCTTTCTCTCTCTTCTTTCTTTCCATCATTCTCTTTCTCTTTTCTTTCTGTCTCTCTCTTTCTTCTTTCTTTCCATCATTCTCTCTCTTTTTTCTTTCATTCTCTCTTTCTTCTTTCTTTCCATCTTTTCTCCATCGTTTTATCTCCCTCTTTTTTCCATTTTTCTGTCTCTTCTTTACTTTCGTCTTTCTTTCCATCATTCTCTCTCTTTAACTTTACTCTCTTTCCATCATTCTTTTTATTCCATCATTCCATCATTCTCTTTTACTTTAAAAAAAAAACTTCTTTCTTTTCCATCATTCTCCCTCTTTTAAAAGAAAAAATCTCTTTCTTCATTCTCCCCATCCTCTCTCTTTTTTCTTTCACTCTCTTTAAAGTCGATCTCTTTCTTCATCATCCTCTCTCTTTTAAACCCTCTCTCTTTCTTCTTTCTTTCATCATTTCCCTCTTTTACTTTACTCTCTCTTTCTTCTTTCTTTCCATCATTCTCTCTCTTTTACTTTACTCTCTCTTTCTTCTTTCTTTCCATCATTCTCTCTCTTTTTCCTCTCTCCTTTCTTCTTTCTTTCCATCATTTTCGCTCTTCTCTCTCTCTTTTTCTTTCTTTCATCATTCTCCCTCTTTCTCTTTCTTCTTTTTTTCCTCATTCATTCTCTTTTACTCTCTTTTTCTTCTTTCTTTCCTCATTCTTCTCTTTTTCCATCTCTCTCTTCTTCTTTCTTTCCATAATTTTCTTTTCTCTCTTTTTCTTCTTTCCATTTCTCCTCTTTTACTACTCATCTCTTTCTTCTTTCTTTCCATCATTTTTCTCTTTAACTCTTTCTCTTTCTTCTTTCTTTCCATCATTTTCGCTCCTCTTTTTAACTCTTTCTTCTTTCTTTCCATCATTTTCCTCTTTTTTAACTCTCTTTCTTCTTTCTTTTTATCATTCTCCTCTTTTACTTTCTCTCTCTTTCTTCTTTCTTTCCATCATTTCGTTCTCTTTACTTTTTTTCTCTTTCTTTTTTTCATTTTCCATCTTCTTTTTTATTTCTTCTTCTCTCTCTTCTTTCTTTCCATCTCTTTCTTCTCCATCTTTCTTTTTCTTTCTTTTCTTCATTTTTCCATCATTTTCTCTCTTTCTTTCTTCTTTTTTTCCATCTTTCCCTCTTTCCTTTAGATTCTTTTTTCTTTCTTTCCATCATTCTCTCTCTTCTTTAAATCTCTTTCTTTCCATCATTCTCTCTCTTCTTTCCTTCTCTCTTTCCATCATTCTCTAATTCTTCTTTCTTTCCATCATTCTCCTCTCTTTAACTTTTTCTCTCTTTCTTCTTTCTTTCCATCATTCTCCCTCTTTTTACTTCTCTCTTTCTTCTTTCTTTTTTCATTCTCCCTCTTTTACTTTACTCTCTCTTTCTTTCTTTTTTTCTTTCCATCTTTTTCTCTCTTTTCTTTTTTTTCTTTCTTCTTTCTTTCCCCATCATCCTCTCTTTTAACTTCTCTCTCTTTCTTCTTTTTTCCATCATCCTCTCTCTTTTAAAAACTCTCTTTCTTCTTTCTTTCCATCATTCTCTCTCTCTTTTACTTTTCTCTTTTTTTCTTTTTTCCATCATTCTCCTCTTTTAAATTTCTATCTTTTTCTTCTTTCTTTCCATCCCCTCTCTCTTCTCTTTCTTCTCTCTTTCCATCATCCTCTCTCTTTTACTTTAAGAAAGAAAGAAAGAAAGCCATCCTCTCTTTTTCTTTTCTCTCTCTTCTCTCTCTTTACTCTCTCTCTTTTTTCTTTAAAGAAAGAATCTTTTATTCTTTCTTTTTTTCTAACAACTCTCTCTTTAACTTTATATCTTTTCTTCTTTATTTCCATCATCCTATATATTTAACTTCTCTCTCTTTCCATCATTCTCTCCTTTAACTTATTTCTCTTTTCTTCTTTCCTTCCATCATTCTCCCTCTTTTACTTTACTCTCTCTTTCTTCTTTCTTTCCATCATTCTCTCTATTTAACTTTACTCTCTCTTTCCATCATTCTCTAATCTCTCTTTCATCTTTCTTTCCCTCATTCTCCCTCTTTTACTTTACTCTCTCTTTCTTCTCCATCTCTTCATTTTTTCTCTCTTCTAATATCTCCCTATCTCTCTTTCTTCTTTCGCTCTTTTTCTCTCCCTTCTTATGTCTTTTTTGTTTCCATCTTTCTCCATCTTTCTCCCCCTTTTGATATATCTTTTTCTATCCTATTCTTTAGTTCCCTCTCCTTTTCTCTAAGTACCTATTTCTTATTTTCTCTGTCTCTCTGCCTCTCTTTTTCTTTCTTCTCACTCCTCTTTTTTTACCGCTCTTTTTTCACTCTCATTCTTTCTCTCTCACTTATTAAATGATTTCTTTATCGCTTCCTTCCGACTCCTTTTCTTTTCTCTACCTATCTCTGTTCATCATTTCGTCACTCTCTCTGGTCTTTTTTCGCTCTCTCTCTCTCTCTCTTTCTCTTTTTTTCTTTTACTGCACCCTATTCTCTATTTTCATTCTTTCTTTCCCTTCTTTCTTTTCCATTTACAAAATCTGTTTGTCTCTTTTCAATTTCTTTCTTTCTTTCTTTCTTTCTTTCTTTCTCTTGTCTGTCTTTTCTCTCACCCTCTCTCTCCTCTCTCTCTGTATATATATATATATATATATATATATATATATATATATATTTATCGCTATATTTATATATATATATATATATTTAACCCTATATATTAAAAAACTCTTTCTTTTCGTTTTCTTCTTTTTGATGATTCCTGCACAAATCTCCTTTTCCATCCTCTCTTTCCATGTTTCTATTGTCTTTTTCTCTCTTGATTTCTTTGTCCTTTTCTCTTTTCCACCCTCTCTTTTGGTCTCTCCATATTATCTTACACCTTCTTTCTTCTTTTCTCTCGCCCACCCCCTCTCTCTCTCCTTATATCCCCAATCCATTCCTTCTCCATATCTCATCCCTCTCTCTACTCTTTCTTAACTCTTTCTTTCCCCAGTTCCTTTCCTAGTAACTCCTACCTTCTTCTCTCTTTCACTGTTTCTTCCTTTCTCTCTCTCTCTCTCGTTCGCTTTAACCATCCTTTTTCTTTTTCAATCTCCTTCACCTACTATCTCTTTCTCGCTCTCTTTCACTCACTATCTCATATCTCCAAGATCTTGAAAATTGTCATGCATCTCAAACCCCTTCTTAGCCTATTTCTTGTGTTTTCATATTATCTTAAGATCAAATTTTCATCCCGCCCCGATACTATCTCTCGACTGTCGATTATATGTTCCTTTTTTCCATATCTCTTTCACCTACTATTTATTTCTTGCTGTCTTTCATTCACTACCTCTTTCTCCTCTCTTAAAAGATGTTTACTCTCAATTTCAATCCATACTCTTTCTGTATATCTATCTATCTATCTATCTATCTATCCTCTCTATCTGTCTGTCTCTGCCTATATCTATCTATCTATGTATGCATATATATATAAATATATATATATATATAGTGTGTGTGTGCATTTAATATCTATCTGTATATATATATATATATATATATATATATATATAATATTTTATTCATTAACTGTCTATCTCTCTGAGAATATTTATCTATCTGTCCACAGGTCTGTATATATCTATCTATCTATCTATCTATCTTCTGTCTGTCTGTCTGTCTGTATATCTACCTGGATATATATATATATATATATATAGATATATATATATATATATGGCTTTTAATATCTATGTACATAATCTATCTGTCAGACAGATTGCAGCCTCTCTGAGATACCCCCATGAATGAATTGAATAACTATAATTTCAGACATGTCACAGCTGGATAGATGAATGGACAGACAGACAGCCAGATAGATAGACAGATGAATATAATGAACAGATAGATAATAGATAGATAGATGAATAGATAATGAATATAATACATAACAATAGATAGATGAATAGATAGATAAAGCAGACAGATGAATAGAATGATATGAATGAATGAATAGATAATGAACAGATTAAATAGATAGATGAATAGATGAATGAATAGATAGATGAATGAATGAATAGGTTGAGATAGATAGATAGATAGATAGATGAATAGATAGATAGATGAGATATAATAGACATATAATACATGATATGAATATAGACAGATAGATGAATAGATAGATGGATAATAGACAGATAGATAGATAGATAGATAGATACATGGATAGATAGATGAACAGACTGAGATAATAGATAGATAGATAGATAGATAGATAGATGAATAGATAGATAGATAGATAGATAGATAAATAATGAACAGGTTGAGATAGATAGATAGATAGATAGATAGATAGAAACAGATAGATAGATAGATAATGAACAGGTTGAGATAGATAGATAGATAGATAGATAGATAGATAGATAGGTAGATAGATAGATATTGTTATTTGTTCTTCTTTCGTGGTTTTTCTGTTTCTTGTGCTCCTTTGGTACTAACCAATCAAAAAATGAAGCAAACAAGGTATTGATAAGCATGATGATGATGATGATGATGATAAAAACAATACTAATTTCGACAAAGTGCTGTCATTCACAGTCAGCTAAAAAGTTGAGATCCGAAAAAAAAAAAAAAAAGAAATAACTAAATAAAACTGAACCAAATAAACTTCAATAGCATCTCGTGACACTATATATTCTTTGCAAAGTTGCCATTGTCAGCCGACACGATGAGTCGGTCTACAAATAAATTCGACAAACAAGATGACAAACAAATGCTTATGACGGTTAATAGCCAAAAGGCGAAATGAAAATTTACTCTCCGGGAAGACATTGACTTCAGGGCGACGCTGACTTGATTATGCGAGTTAAAAATTGAAATATGAATGACGGAGAAAAACAGAGCGAAAAATCAATGACAGCCAACGAAAGACTTCGTATCATTTTATGTTTATTTTATCATGTGTTCAGGCGAATATATATATATATATATATATATATATATATATATATATATATACTATACACACACACATGTATATATATTTAAAAAACATTTTTATGTTTAACGTTGTTATTTTATAGATACAAGTATTTAAGCAAATGCTCTGTTTATGATAAATATAAAAACATAAAAAATGTCTTTAATAAATAAATTGTCGGACCTTGTCCATTTCTTAATATATGACGTCATTTGTTTACATTTGATACGCCAGAGCAGTTATGAATGTGTTGATTCATGGAAGATTGGAGTTTATAAGCAGTAAATTCGACCTTGTCTACCGAACGCTTCTTTGTAGCCTAGAGGTAAGGCACGTCAGCGTATATCCTGTCAAAGAACGAATATTTTCTATGAAAATTTCTCGGACATTCAGGCCGGTAAATGTTATTTAATACTGTTTATCATAAACAGAGCATTTGCTTAAATACTTGTATCTATAAAATAACAACGTTAAACATAAAAAAATGTCTTTAATAAATAAATTTAATAAATAAATAAATTGTCGGGCCTTGTCCATTTCTTAATATATGTATATATATATACATGCATACACACACACATATATATATATACAGTTCTTTATATATATATATATATATATATATATATATTATTCTATCCATATGTATCCTTCAGTTTGTACTTGTTTTCATCTGCTTATATATGTTTACATATCTATCTCGCTCTTTTCGTATCTATCTAAGTCGGTTCCTATCTATCGATCTATCTATTCTTAATTATCTATCTATCTATCTATATCTATACCTATCACGTTCGTACTTCTTTTGCACTATTCCTATCTATCTATCTATCTATCTATCTATCTATCTTTGTCTATTCTTATCTCTCTATTCTTAATAATCTATCTATTCTTATTTATCTATCTATATCTATACCTATCACGTTCATTTCGTAATTCTTTCCCACTATTTCTATCTATCTATCTATCTATCTATCTATCTATCTATCTATCTTTGTCTATTCTTATCTCTCTATACTTAATCATCTATCTATTATTAATTATCTATCTATCTATATCTATGTCTATCTGGTTGAGTCTAGAAAAATCCTAAACAGAATGCAGTAAGCCATTTCATCCTATGTGGGACTCTTCAACATTGCGCATCCACTACCGACAATCAAACCGGGACCATTATGATATTCTTGAGGAGTCCGAAATAGGATGAAATGGCCATCCAGTGATTTCTGCATTCTGCGGAGGATTCTACCAGACTTGATGAATTACTATGAATGATTATTCAAACTCGCTCCAATTTCTATCACACACACACACACACACACACACACACACACACACACACACACATACACACATATATATATATATATATATATATATATATATATGGAAGCATGGTTAGAAAGTTTATTTTCTGACCATAAGTCCTGAATCTATCTGGTTCAGTTCGTATTTGTTTTCCCCTATTCATATCTATCTATCTATCTATCTATCTATCTATCTATCTATCTAAGTCTGTTCATTATCTAGCTATCTATCTATCTATTTCAGTCTGTTCATTATCTATCTATCTATCTATCTATCTATCTATCTATCTCAGTCTATACGTTTTTATCTATCTATCTATCTATTCTTAATTATCTATTTATATCCATCTCGTTCAGTTCGTATTTGTTTTCCCTATTCATATCTCTCTTTTCTCTCTCTCTCTATATATATATATATATATATATATATATATATATATATATATATATATATAGAGAGAGAGAGAGAGAGAGAGAGAAAAAGAGGGAGATTTGAAGAACTAACTTTAACTGAAGTATCAAAGAGTTTGTGACTTGAAGAACTTATTTTTCGGTCTGAATTGTAATTTAGGCCCACATCAGTTTTTGGCCGGAATTGCACTTGTAACCCGAATCAGCGTTAATGTGAGGTTTTGAAGTTCCATGGCGGGAATTAGGGGAATTCAAAGTAATTTCTTCAAAATTATCATCACTGAACCAGAAATCCCATTACTTTTGGGTTGGAGGCCCAAATAGACCACCGCAGGAGCTAGCTTAAAATCCTGCATGGAGAGCGGCTTTGAAGCTAGTATAAAATAAATTACTATGTACAAACTGAGATATGATGGTACAAAATTTAAAAGACAAAAATATGAATTATTGTCTTACAGATTATAAAAGTTATATAAAATTTGTGAATTATTTATAAACCCTTAAACTCGTCAAGTAAATTATTTTTAATCATTGCTCCCCAGGCATTAAACTCGAACCACAACCGCCCTGCAGAAACATGATGTATCTTTTTTGAAATCAGGGTGATACCAGGATTAAAAATCTGCCCTTCATTTGGTGTTTAAATATCCATTATTTGGATTTCTGTCCCGATGGCGAAGGAACGTTTAAAAATTAAAAATTTTAAATAAGATGCAAAACAATTACTGATTTTAAACGTTTTTAACTTATTTTGTGTTCAAAGTAACTACAAAAACTTTGTGAAGCGAGGAAATCAATTTTATTTCTTCAAAATCTCAAGGAATCAGAGATCAAATGAGAGGTTTCATGACGTGAAATTTTGAAGTTTTGCAGAACTCAATTTTCAACTTGAATTGGAATTTAGACCTGACTTGGAAGTTCGGCTAAACGGGACTTTCGACCCAGATCGAGCTTTGGGTCCGAATTGGACTTATAGCCTGAATCAGAGTTAAAGTGAGGTTTTAAAGTTCCATAGAGTGAATTGAGGTATTTAAAGTTATTTCTTCAAAATTATCTTAGCTGATTTCTAAGAGTGAACCAGAAGAGCTACCTTAAAAATGGAACGGAATCCGGCTTTTAATCTAGTCCAATACAAATTACATGTTTTTTATCTACGGCGAAAGAAAATAAATGCTTTTCGACTCAAATATAAACAACCAAAATTTGCCGATCCCTGAAAAATGTAAAATCTTGCAATCAATAAAATCGACTCGTGTTTATCTATTGCGAAATAAAGAAAATGCTTCCAAACTCAAATATAAAACGTTACAATTTGTCTATCGCTGAAAAAAAAAAAAAATTGTGGAATTTAAAGTTATTTCTTCAAAATTATCTTTGCTGTTTTCTAAGCTGGATCAGGGGTTGCTTTATTTCGGGGACCTTAGGCCCATTTAAACCGCCACAGGAGCCAGATTAAAAGTCAGCATGTTGTCCTGCTTTTTAATTAAGTTTCTTATACATATAAGTTGTTGATGTGAAAATTTCTCTGATTTAACCAGTAGAGAAGACAATATTTATGAATAAAAATGACAATAGGAATACTGGTAAATGCTGACGCGTTTCGTCCAGTGTGGACTTTATCAAAGCAAAATACGAAAATGAAATTAATTGAATAAAGTAACTAATAAAAACAAAAACTTAACTAATGCACTAGTCATACATAGAAATAAATTCAACCATAATTTTGATTTTAAAAATGCTACACTCATAAAAAAAGAAAATAACTCACTCAGAAGAAAAATTCTGGAGAGTGCCGCCATAGAAAATTACCCAAATATTAATCTACGCCCAGGTTTTTTCCCTATTTCACCTTTCTTAACAAAATTATTGCTCTTACAAACATATATACACAACAGATTCATAAAATCAAAAGAAAATGGTTGAATACATCAACACAGATATAATGACAATATTCTCCACACGTGACAAATACTGACGTTATTTTTCAGTTAAAAATATGAAAATAGCGTTTCTCTACATTCCAGTTGCTAGGTACATTCTGTTTTTGTTTCCGTATGCGATACACGTTCGATTCTTGTCGGAGGACGAATATTTTCTATGAAAATTTCTCGGACATTCAGGCCGGTAAATGTTGTTTAATACTGTTTATTATAAACAGAGCATTTACTTAAATATTTCTAACTATAAAAAGAATGTATAAACATAAAAATGTCTTAAAATAATTGTCGGACTTTGTCCATTTCATAATGTGTGACGTAATATGTTTACAATTGGATACACCTTGAGCAGATATGAATGTACGTGAGAGAATGATGGATGATTGTAGTTTAAAGGCAGTAAAATCAACCTTGCCACTCGAACGATACTCCGTGGCTCAATCGGTTAAGGCACGTCAGGCTATATGAAGGTTCTGTATAGGATAGATGTTCGATTCCTGTTGGAGGACGCATATTTTCTATGAAATTTTTTCAGACATTCAGGCCGGTAAATGTTGTTTAATACTGTTTATTATAAACAGAGCATTTACTTAAATCTTTGTATCTATAAAAAGAATGTATAAACGTAAAAATGTCTTAAAATTGAAATATATCTATGAATTTTTTTTCACTAGTAATAATTCTTTAAAATGGCAATAGATACTATTTCATGATTTATTATGATGAAAGTTTATTTGAAATTTATTCCAGAGGTCAGAATTCGTTTAGTTTCGTTACGTCCATTATGTCTCGGACGGCTTCTGACATACGAAATCGATCAATTGGCAGGTTTACGACCGCTTCTGACATCTACAAATAGACCTTACCACAAAGATATGCCCATATAAGAATACGCCTTTCGT